CGCTCTTGGCGAACCGAACCTTCTCAATCACCATACTCATAAGAGTACGGTGCTCATCATCGATGGAAGCACCTCGAAGCACTTCCAGCAAATTATCCGATGCCTCCGGCTGGGCGGAGGTCATCGGCACGGTCGGCTCGCTCTCCTTCGCGAGGGGCTGCCTTCTAGAATTCGGAACCTTTGGAGGCTCCGGCGCAGTAACCGGCTGGGAGCCGGACTTGCTGTGGCTCCCGTCAACATAATCCATGGGGGTCTTACCCCCCATGCGCCCGACGTCTGGGATTTCGCCTTGGGGCATCTCCGGAGCCGTCGCCTCCTGCTCTAGTATCCTTCGGGACAACACCTCAGTGTCATCCGTAGGTCGTGGGGAGGTGGATGTCGGGAGTGAATTCATCTCCGACTCGCCCAGAGACTCCTCCGAAGAGGACACCCCGAGATTGGACCCGGCCGGACTGCATATACGTGTTCGGCGTTATTGCAAGCCATAAGGTCAAAGTCGCACGAAAAAAAAATATTACAGAATGCGGATACTTACGACCTCGCCCGGGGCTTGCCCCTGGGCAGCCACTCCTCGTCGCTATAAGCAGCGGTTGAGGAGTGATCTGGAAGGGACGCCTTTCCCTTCTTCAGCGTCCCGGCCTTTCCCGACGGGGCGGCCTTCCTTTTCTTCTCCCCCAGTATGGGGAGGGGGCATCTCCTCATGTTTTCCCCCGTCTTCAGGGGGAATCTTCCTCGTCATCTTCGGATGATGATTCTATCACGGTCCTGCGCCGGAGACCTTTTCTGGTCCCCGCGGTCGCCTTCTTGGACCCTTCGGCCCCCTCAGTTGAAGCGGCCTTCCTCTTTTTCTCCTCCCCTTCGTGGGAGGAGTGCGCCTCGTCATGTTCTGGCAAGGCATCTGATGTGGCCTCGCGCCGGAGACCCTTCCGGGTCCCCGTGGCCTTCTTCTCGGCCTTTTTCTCCGGCACCTTGTAAGGCGCCAGAACCAGCATCTCCGCTAGGAGTGTGTCTACTGGGTCCTCAGGCAACAGAGTCGGACAGTCAATCCGCTCCGTCATCTCCACCCAATCCTGTTTGGTCAGCATGGTGACTTAAAAATCTTCCCACGAATGTACTAGGAAAGGGACATCTTGTAATAGTCAGAGGACTTACCGGACTGGCGAGGCGCTTTGCGCTGAGCCCACGGTCCTCGGAAAGGGGGGGAGGAGCTTCGTTGGCCTTGAACAGTACCTTCCAGACGTCTTTGTGCGTCGTGTCGGAGAGTTCCAGCAGCATCTGATGTTCGGCCGGATCAAACTCCCACATATTGAATGCCTGTCTTTGACACGGGAGAATCCAGCGAACGAGCATGACCTGGAGCACGTTGACAAGTTTTATCTTCTTGTCTCTCATACTTCCGATATAGGTCTCGAGTCCGGTTAGCTCCGTGGGTTCGCCCCAGGCCAGGCCCTTCTTTTCCCAAGAAGTGAGCCGCATGGGGATTCCAGATCTGAATTTGGGGGCCGCCACCTAGTTGGCGTCGCGCGGCTCAGTGATGTAGAACCACCCTGATTGCCACCCTTTCACGGTCTCCACGAAGGAGACGTCAAGCCATGTAATGTTGGGCATTCTACCCACCATGGCGCCTCCGCACTCCGCCTGTTGGCCGCTCACGATCTTCGGCTTCACGCAGAAGATTTTCAACCACAGGCCGAAGTGAGGCTCGATGCGAAGGAAGGCCTCGCACACGACGATGAATGCCGAGATGTTGAGGACGAAATTCGGGGCTAGGTCGTGAAAATCTAGCCCGTAGTAATACATGAGCCCGCGGACAAATGGGTGGAGTGAAAATCCTAGTCCGCGGTTGAAATGAGGGAGAAATACTACTCTCTCCCGAGACTTTGGGGTGGGGCTAATATGTCCCTCCGCCGGAAGCCTGTGCGCGATGCTCTCGGCCAGGTATCCGGCCTCCCGAAGCTTGGTAATGTCCTCCTCTTTGACAGAGGAGGCCATCCACTTGCCTCCCGCTCCGGACATGCTGCGGTCCTACGGATAAGATGAGAGCGCTTGGGCGCTCGAGCTCGAGAATGCGAGAACGGATGAGCGAAGGAGGAAGAAGGCGTGGGTGAAAACGGGAGATCCTTGTCCCTTTATAAAGGCGGTGTAGAATGTGCGCCTCCCCACTTGCCTCTCGAAATAATTTATTTTCCAAGCGCCCCGATTGATGGCGCTGGTTGGGTTACCCATACCCGTATTGATGGAGATCCCGTGATAAGGGGACACGATCTCTGCTTTGACAAGACTTGCCAAAGAAACCGCCTCGCGATGTGTGCGGGAGCGAGATGTGAAAAGCATTCGAATAATGACCGGACCACGGCGTCCTGTCACGCTACGAAGGGCTGTCAGCAGATTAGATTTGTGGATTATTGTTCTCTTTACGGCGGTATGTGAAGAGCCGGACACAGTCCTTGTGTTCGGAATTTATCTTGGAGTATTCGGAGATGGAACCCGCCTCGCAATGCCGAAGACAATCTACGCGCCGGACTCATCGTCATTGAAGCCTGGTTCAGGGGCTACTGAGGGAGTCCTGGATAAGGGGGTATCCGGACAGCCGGACTATACACTTTGGCCGGACTGTTGGACTATGAAGATACAAGATTGAAGACGTCGTCCCGTGTCCGGATGGGACTCTCCTTGGCGTGGAAGGCAAGCTTGGCGATTCGGATGTAGATCTCCTTCTCTGTAAACCGACTCTGTGTAACCCTAGCCCCCTCCGGTGTCTATATAAACCGGAGGGTTTAGTCCGTAGGACACAATAACAACAAGCATACCATAGGCTAGCTTCTAGGGTTTAGCCTCTCTGATCTCGTGGTAGATCAACTCTTGTAATACTCATATCATCAAGATCAATCAAGCAGGAAGTAGGGTATTATCTCCATTGAGAGGGCCCGAACCTGGGTAAACATCGTGTCCCCAGTCTCCTGTTACCATTAGCCTTAGACGCACAGTTCGGGACCCCCTACCCGAGATCCGCCGGTTTTGACACCGACACCTACCTCGATGCTGGACACCAGTGTCAATTTTCTTGAAGCAACGCATTCTCATCGATTTTCATGAAAGATACCACCCACAACATTAGTGTGGACAATACATGCACATTTCCATTGCGTATTTTTATGGAAGCCGGTTTTGGTATAATTACTGAATTTTACTAGTGGGTGGATAAAATAATGGATGGGACATATCATGAAACTTTAGGCCAAATCCGTTTTTGGAACACGTTTTCGGGTTAATCCGACCTTCTTTCAAATGCATTTTTAATGGCTATAATGTATAAGAAAGATAGAAAAGGATCAGCATATAGCGAGTCTGGAGTCCACATTTTATATGCTAAGAGGTTGGGGCTGCTTAGTTGTTGCCCAAGAGCGCCACGCCAAACCGTGGGCGTCGCGAGCGCACCAAAATATTGGTGGCCGATTTGGCCGCCCCGAGTTTCGTCAATGAATTGGCACAGAAGTACAGAGGAAAAGATAGGGTGACTTGGCGAGCCAAAACTTTAGATCCCATCCAAACAAGCTGCAATGCTTCGGTCAAGGCCAAAATATTGGCTGGGCGTGCAGGGGATCCAACCCAAACAGCCCCAACATCTCCAAATCTCTCCAAAGGAGTTTCTTTTTAACAATGTCAACTGTGTTCTTAGGAAACGGCTTCACTATTCTCATGCATCTGAAAAATAAATACTTCTTCAACCATAGTTCAAAACTGCGACATTTATTTTGAATCGAAGGGACTATATTTTTGAGTCCGTTCTACAAGAACCATCCAATCTGAGTGTTAAGATTCGTGCAAGCTTAATTGAATGAACTAATGTTCATTGAACGATTATTGCGTTTTTCAAAATATCGGTAATACTACACACAAATTATTTGATTAGATCTCAATAAAATTCAAATGGAAAATTTAGTACTACCATGGCCGAAATGATAACGAAATATCACTAAAATTCAATAAAAATTCAGTTATTTCGAGTGTAGCTAAAAAAAAATCTGAAACTGAAATTTAGAACCATTTTTATGTAGGAGCAAGCAAGCAAGCGACCACATTATCGCTAGCCATTGTAAACGCCTTCGGTATGATGTACACTCAGCAAGCACGATGCATCGATTAATGTAGGTGTGTGCTCGTGGTGGCCACGGGCGCGCAATACCGAAGGGAAAGGATGTGTGGCTGCATGTACGCACTAGCCAAAGCGGCATGAAAGCTGGAAATCCCAACACCAGCGGAGAAAAAGAAGACCGGCAATGCCACAGCAACACACGAACACAAGGCACGACCCTCAAATTCATTATAAAACCACGCCAGGGGAGCGTGTGTTCGCCACGCTGCTGCTGCCTGCCACTGCATACGGCTACTACCACCGCGAACCCAACCATCTCCATCCATCTCACAAGCTCCTAGTCGCCATGGCCGTGAACGACACCAAGCTAGCCGCCGTGGCCGACGCTGAGACCCCGGCTGTGGTGTGCGGCAACGTCGACGACTCCGAGTCGTCCATCGACTTCGCGGGGCGCGCAAACTGGCTGCGGGCGGCGGTGCTGGGCGCCAACGACGGGCTGGTCTCCACGGCGTCCCTCATTCTCGGCGTCAGCGCCGTCAAGCCCGACGCGCGCGCCATGGTCGTGTCCGGGTTCGCGGGCCTCCTGGCGGGGGCGTGCAGCATGGCCATCGGGGAGTACGTGTCCGTCTGCTCCCAGCGCGACGTGGAGATTGCGCAGCTGGACCTGGACGGCAAGCGCGGCGGCGACGAAGAGAAGGCACTGCCCAGCCCGGCCCAGGCCGCGGCCGCATCCGCGCTGGCTTTCTCCGTTGGGGCGCTAGTGCCGCTGCTAGCCGCCGGGTTCATCGTGGGCTACAACCTGCGGGTCGCCGTGGTGATCATCGTGGTGACGTTAGCGCTGGCCGCGTTCGGCTGCGTGGGAGCCGTGCTTGGGCGGGCCCCAGTCGCGAGGTCGTGCGCGCGCGTGGTGGTGGGAGGGCTGGCCGCCATGGCCGTCACCTTTGGGTTCATGAGGCTCTTCCGAGCCAGCGGCGTATGACAGAATGACAAGGCCTTCATCGCCGACCTCGCGTACGTACGTCGTGTACGGGCATCGTCCATGCTCTTCTCGGAATAAAATACACAGTACTGCCCACCGTACTTGTGCCTACGGCTGACTTTTTGGTCCTTGCAATTTATATACTCAAAGTCTGAAGCGTTTGCATTTGTTCTCGGAGTATATACCTAACTAGATAATACCCCGCGCGCTGCTGCGGTAATTTATAGCATTACGTAATAGTAAGTTTTCTGGAGCAAAAGATAATGAAATCATGAAAAATTATTTATTTGAACTTTTTGCAGAATGATATTGTAAGTTAAGAAAAGAGTACCACCATAGTTTGATCAGATTTTCTCATAATAAGTTTAGATAAATATGTTGAGCAAGAAACAAAGAGACTTCACGCTAATTTGACATCCTTTTGTGGTGCTAATGCGTCCAAACGGTAATTAGCTTGCATTGCCCAGCTTGGTCCATTTTTGACCGGAAGAATAACCGAAGGTATGAGAAATGGCATTGCTTCTGACTATGACAACACACAAACTCTATTTTTATTGCATTATGTTTAAGAGGATGCAAACAAACATAGAACAATAAAACAGAAGGACAATCAAAACAGGTTTTGTTTGATCCTCTCAGCAAAGACATATATACATTTAGGCTCAAGTTGTAATTTACATCAGAACAATCAAATAGTGATATTTAAACTACAGAAAAGGGCTATTCATTACTAAGATCTAAATTCAACATTTTGATTGAATAATTGGCAAGCCACTATTTAGTTAGACGCTTACATTTATCAAGTGAAGCTTTAGGTTTGAACAGATAATGTCCATGTGCTTAATTTAGAGAAGATTGTTTTATTGTAAGTACACATGCATGGTTGAACACTGAACATCAGTTCCGATTCTAGTATAGATTAAAAAATCTACCTACACTCTGCACCCTTATTTGTCATCACATTAGTATATCCAGGGAGTATGCTGGAGAAACTTCACTCTGCACTGCAATAGGACACCGAGTAACTCGATGTGTTATCAGGAAGAGCATTCAGCTAAACAAACACATCCAGGATGAGACGTATCCAAGAGAAACTGCATTCTCCACTTCAATAGGACATCAAAGTAACTCAAGGCAAGCATGTACAGTTATCTTCAGTCCCAGAGAGAATTCAAGTATGTTCATAAGAGTCACTTCATATTTTGTTTCATTTATGCAAGTAGATGAATAAAACCCTGCAGTAGGGGAAGAACACAAATCTCAATCAAAATATTGTATCACTCGGGTGTTAGATCGATCCCATGCCGTTCAGTGGAATAGTACTACGTACCAGGGAACAACATACCTGAAAATGAACTTGAATATGCTCTGACCATACAAAACAACCAGAGAAAAGGATTAAAATACCAATAAAATCTGTACTAAACTAACATGAGAGAGAGAGAGATGCAGGATGGTAGTTGGGCATAGTTGATAGTATGGACCATGACTGCAGCTATTTGTACTAAACTAATTAACATGAGAGGTAGAGAGGCCTACCGGACTTGATGCAATGGAGACGGCTGGAGATGAACAAAGATTCCTACAACGCATAAATTAGAGATTTCAACCAAGCTAACTCAAAAACTCGTTCAGACCTAAGGATATGAAGAAAGGAAGGAGAGCCCCCCACCTCTGGCCGAAGTGATGTTGGAGGAGGATGTCAGCGTTGGGAAAAGTGTGCCTCGCTGGGTGCCAGATTCGATGCAGGGGCGTGAGTCTTGGGCCAGCGCCCACACCTTGACGCCGGCGAGGTCAGCCGATCCACCGCGATGCAGCCGCCGGCCCGATCGGCGAGCACCCCGACGTAGCATCGCGTCCCCGGCCGCTGGATCCGTGGCATGATGCGCACGAGGGAGCGGATGTTGCAGCGCAGTGCTCTACTGGGGTGTGATCTGTTGCAGCTCAGCTGGTCCTCCGGTACAGTTCGACCGTGCGACGGTGTCAATCACTGGACTCCGGGTCAGCATCACGCCGTTCTCCGGTGGGGATGGCCCGCGAAGGTTTGGCTGGCGGCGGCGCGGTATGGAACGGAAGTTCCGTCATCTTTGTCGGTGACTTGTTATAGTTGAGGCAGAGATTTTATTGATTGAGGGGAGACGAACCGAACCACTGAAAGAATCAATGCGAGGATTTGTTTACATTAGATGAGTGGAGCTAAGAGAGGAAGAGGGGGAAATAATGGAGGAGATGAACAGAGCCAGCGTGCGCGTCCTCGAGCCGATAACGCCTCAGCGGAAATAAAACATATTGGTTGCGAATTTTAGTTTGCTGAGACTAGCCACAGTGGAGAATAACATACACTAGTAACATATACATATCTTTAGACTATGTTACCACCTTAATAGTGGGTAGTAACATAAGTGTGGTAACATGCAAAGCTTCATTTATTAGGTTATAGACTCATATTGCATTGGGATATGTGATGTTACAGTAACTAGCTAAGTTACTAGTACTACATCTCTCCTCATTAACTCATTGCCACATAAGCAAATTTACTGAGTCTGAGGTGGCCGGCCCACCGATCCTGCTTGTGAGACCATCCTGGGTCGCTGGCCCTCTCCCACCACCACTACCGCAAAACAGGCCTAGAGAGCTTCCCTCCCCCGCCGCGCGCA